GTTTCTTCCTTTTTCTTGTCAATTTTCAAAATTAATGGTGGTAATTTTCCTCCCACTCAGTTCTCGTTCTATTGGCTTTTCCTTCTGTTCCCATTAGCTTGACTTCCTGTACTATTCTCATTGTGTTGACTTCTCTTCCTGCTAATTTTCCAGTTTTCCTATAAAAATGAGGGATCTGGCAAACTCTCGCTTCTGCCTAAGGTATGAATCCCACCTGAAAGTTTCAAAGTTTCTGTGGCTTGTCTGGGGATTCTAATATACTTTATAATTTGATTCTACAGGTTCTTTTGATGATTGTGAAGTTCATTCAGAAAGATTCTGACGAGAAGAGGGCATCCTTCAATCCCAGGCCGTATTTTAGGTTATTCATTAACTGGATACTGGATTTGTGTTCCTTGGACCCCGTTTCTGGTGGCGCTAATTTTCAGGTTTGCTGTGTGGCATTCATTTCAAAGCTTCTGATGATTGTGAATTAACTTTAGCATTAACTTGTTATCTTCTAGGTTTTGACTGCTCTAGCAAATGTCTTTCATGCTATTCAGCCTCTCAAATTTCCAGGATTCAGGTAATCATAGGTTCATCGCCAGTATGTCAAGATAAACTGTTATATTTTTTCATTGAGTAGGCTCTTAATGTGATTAGTTAAGAAGCTGGTGTTTTTTTTACAATGGGTGCTTCTTCTGTTTGTGCTTCTTCTGTTTAAAGTTTAGTGTATATTCAAGTGTGGAAAAATGTGATCTTCGTCAAGGTATGGCTATAGGTATGCAATGGTGTCATGGCACCAACTTGTACATGTTTGTACGTGGCAAAAAGTTCTTTTCTATGGAACATTGGTTCAAACTAGGTTGTTAATATCAAGAGTTATCTGTAAAGGTATGAGTTGTTTTGCAAATTATGTACAAATTATTGAAAAACGATTGTGACATTCATTTATAATTTTGATCTTCAGCAACCAATGCTTGGTGGTGATATGTTTTGGTAGGTTGAACTGACTTGGCAAGTTGATTTCAGTTTTGCGTGGCTTGAGTTGATTAGTCATATAGAAGTTTCATGCCAAAATTACTCACAGCAAATGCACAGAAGGGGTGGCCCTATTTTCAACTACTGTTGGTAGACTTGTTTCAGTTCATGGAGCCATTTTTGAGGAATGGAGAACTTGGAGAGTCGGTGTGCCTCTATATTATGAATACTAACTTTTTTTTCTTATTATTGCTGGAAAATCACTACATGTTTGATTTTTCCTTTTTAATTATGTGTCTGCACTTAGGTCCAGTTTCTCTACAGAGGAACGGTCAGGGTACTAATGGTGCTTCTCCATGATTTTCCAGAATTTCTTTGTGACTATCATTTCAGTTTCTGCGATGTTATTCCTCCTAGTTGCATACAGATGCGAAGTATAATCCTTAGTGCATTTCCTCGCAATATGAGGCTACCTGATCCTTCTACTCCTAACTTAAGGGTGTTTTCACAATCTTATATTTGATCATAATCTGCTTAGCCATCTATTCTGATACATTATATTTAGATTGATCTGCTGGCTGAGATAAGGCAAGCACCACGAATTCTTTCTGAGGTTGATGCAGCTCTTAAAGCAAAGCAGATCGAGGGTGACGTGGATGAGTACCTGAAGGTAAATCTGAATGAAAACACAAACACAATTTTGAATTATCGGAGAGAAAATATAGTTGGTCACAAAGCAGATTTTGTTCTAGTTTTACACGTTTAGTTTTGTTCTGTTCTCAAAATCTTTTCTCCTGTCAATTTATCCCATAGACAAGGCAACATGGCTCCTTATTTCTGTCTGAGTTGAAGCAGAAGCTTCTGCTTTCTCCAAGCAATGCAGCTCGTGCTGGGACTCGTTACAATGTTCCTCTCATCAACTCCCTTGTCCTATATGTTGGGATGCAGGTATTTTCAAATTTCTTCCCATCGGTCCGTAAACTGCCCACATAAATTAAAAAATATGTAAGCTGCAGGAAGACGATATATATTGTGTACTATCCTAGTCTTCTTTTTAACCTGCATGATGTTTATGCTTTTCTATATGCTTTTTTTTTTTTTCAAATCAACCCTCGGGGAAATTTTCTGTAGGCTATTCAACATCTGCAGGCAAGACCACCCCAACATCCACAATCTATAGCCAGTTTGACCACTTTCTTGGAGAGTGCTGCTTTGGACATATTCCAGACTATGATAATGGATCTGGACACCGAGGGCTGTTACCTCTTTTTGAATGCTGTGGCTAACCAACTACGAACAACCACACACATTACTTCTCTTTCGTCCTTCTCTATCTTTTTGCTGAGACTGACCAGGTGTGTATGACATCTCCGTCTTTTCAATTAATTCTATGTTAATCAATATTGCTTCTTTTATTCTCCCGATTTCCCTGCATTTTTTTAGGGATACATAGATACTCTCTCAGGAAAAATCAACGGAACATAATTTTAGTTATCATTTCTGATTGAATAATTTATCTAGCACCAACCTATTTTGCATTACGTAATAGGTTCAATTAAAAGTGAATTATGTGATTCATTTAATTGTACTTATTATTTAATGACACTTAGTGCCACCTAGACTAGACTAGTGTTGTAACACTAATAGTGCTAAATAGCATTACTGTTTCTGATACCTATCAATTTGAACATCCATGTTTGACATGATTATTCTAATTTGAGCAGGAAATGGTTCAAGAGCAAATCACAAGAGTCCTATTGGAACGACTTATCGTTAATAGGCCTCATCAATGGGGTCTTTTGATTACTTTTGTTGAGCTCATCAAGGTAACCTTGTCGTTATTAATTAATTAAATATTATTAGAAAGTATTGTAATGCACAGATTGCTTTGTTTGACAGTTCTTAATTTTTTATTATTCTCTTCAAAATAGAACCCTGGGTATAACTTCTGGAGCCGATCTTTTACAAGGTGTGCACCGGAGATCGAGAAACTCTTCGAATCGGTCTCGAGGTCATGTGGGGGTCCAAAATCTGTTGCTGAGAATGTGATATCCGGTGTAGTAGAAGATAATATGCACTGAGCTTTACTTGTTTGATATGATACTTAAATGTGAAAACAATGTCAATGTAAATAATTAGACCTTGTATATTTCTTCACGTTGCATTCTGATGATTTTGGAGATACTTTTTCTTTTTAAACTTTGACGTCTTCTAAAAACCATAATATTACTCTGTTTTCTGATATTTTAATACATTCTTTGTTCCACAGTAGAAGATAAGGACATTCCCAAATTTTAAACCAATCAATCCATTCTCTTCATTTAAACCATTAGTTAAGGTTCAAGTTCAATTGACCGATCCATGCAAATGTGATTTTGTTGGGTTATTTAATTCCTATTAACTAATAAAGTGACGATTTTATTTATTACCTGATGGTTAGAGAACAGCACATAAATACTAAAAATAGGGTAATATACAAAGCAAAAGTATTTCAAAATTACGCAAATAAATAATAAAAGAAAATTCAGCTTATAAGATCTTTTAATTTAACATATAACTAGAGCTGTAACATTGAGGTGCAATCCCTTGTAGAGTTCATCACATACAAATAGAAGAAAATTAATGGGAATTATGAAACAACAATATATGCCTTTGCCTTCATAATGCTAGTTCAGCCAATGATTTCCACTTGAACATTACCATCATATCTTCGCAACAATCTAAACATCAGTTTAGACAATTTTTGCACAACTGACACACGCTGAATGGTAAAACAGTAATTATGTATATTTCGACTGCAAACCTGAAAATGTTGAATTTGTACATCTATTATGACACCTTATAATACGGATTGCCTGCAAATTCAGTTATCAGAACACCATTTACCTACTAGCTCCCTGGCAATTTTACAGCGTTGTTACCGTATAAACAGGGAAGAAAAATCCTCTTAGTTGCCACGGACATCCTATCCATCTATTTCTTTACAAATCTTATCGAATGCAAAATGGTTTCACCACACATCGAGGATTATATCAACTTGACAGGCCTGCATTAACTTAACCAAATATAAGCTCGAGAGCATGTGTGCATCAAATGAAAAATAACACTAAATATGTCATAGTCGCTCAATAAGAGGTTCACAAGTAATTTGAATGGAAATAGTAACGGCCTATGTTAGTACATACAAGTTTGTGGTCAGGTCAAAATCATCCAAATCAAGCTCCTATGAACATTTGAGCATAGTATAAACAAGGTACCAAATACCAATACTTGCCTGGAGAGGTCTTCAAACGGGCTTCATCTGTAGTACAACATATCGGCATTATCTACAAGGCTTACCTTGGTGAACACGTGTTATGATTGTAAGAAAAGATCTGCTTTCATTTTTCTTATGCCATATGGCAACATATTAACAATTATCAGAAAAGAATAAGCAGTTGATTATCATAAACAGCAAAAATCTTCAAGTTCAATCAATAGTTCAGTGTAAAGTAGCCCAGTATGAGGAAACATCATGACCAGATTGCTAGCCAAAATGAAATTTAAGCAGAAACAAAAGCATTTATTAATTTTCTTCAAAATACTGAAAGAATTATATTTGTACTTCAGTTGCACGATTTCAATTTTGACATAAATACATACAAGCAAAAGCATTGACTGGACTGACTTCAGTTTTACTTGGGTTGATTTCAATCATGCATAACTTTAATCCTTGACTCAGTAACTACATAATGACCTCTTACCATTTTCAGAAATATGTGGATAGAGATCCATGGATGCACGCCTGAACAAAAGAGGAAAAATAGAATGGCAACCACCAAAAGGGAGCACAATGCGGTCAATCCACGAAACCAGTTAACTTTCTGCAGAAGCAAGTACTGAAGATGCTACATGCAAATCAAACTCAACCGTAAATGTCTATTGTCTGGAAGGAAATTTGTAAACCGTAAATGTCTATTGTCTGGAAGGAAATTTGTACTCGAATAGAATGAGTACTGTGAAGCACAAGTATAGGTTCATTATATGTAGAAAGAAAGAAATTAAGAGAAGCATAGATTTTTTTATTTTATTCCTAGAAACTCAACACAAGTACAACTTTTGCTACAAGAATAGTTCCTTAACTTTATGGATAACAGGAGAAACAGCTGAATCTAATTAAACACATTGAATGAGTCGATTCTATTCTTGGGAAAAAAAGGCTAACCACAATTATTTTGAGAGAAAATCTGATAACCTAGAATGATTAGCTCCCCTGTGAAGCTCAAAATTAAAAGGTATTCGCTCACTCTTAATCAACATGAGGTCCAAAATACTGTCTTGAGGCTGTTAGTTCATCATGCAGACACCCTTTACAGTTGACATTTGAAATAGCTTGGCATTTATTCAGCCTGCAGTTTCTCCGTATGTATTAGTGCCTAAAACTGTCACTTCCTCAATGATCTACCACCTTTTTGTCCCACTCCTGTCCCTGCAAGCCCTGCTTCCATTAGAGACCTGGAATCTGGTCGCCATTTCAACTCTTTGAGAACAGAGAATAAAGTCGCTAATTCTGGTGTTATTTCACTGTCCTTTATATTGTTACATGCAACTACTCTAAGCCTATCAAGCTTTTTCCAAAAAGGAATTACTGATTCTAATCCTTCCATTGTCAGTAATGAGCATCCTTCCAGCGAGAGATATGTTACACTCCTACAATGTAAAATTAGCATCCATCAAAATTTCAGTTCCAGAATTGGAAGGCTCGTTTCCAGTAGCACAAACAATTCAATTAGCAATTATTTATTCCATCTTTCTATTTTTAAAACAATAAATTCATTTCTCACTTTTCCACATAGAAACATGCTAGCATTGTAACAACAATGATTTGCGTGTATATATTTACATTTACATTGAAGTTCTAGAAGTTAATACAATCATGATGAAACATTCAGCCATAGAGGAATGGCATACAATTCTAAGAGCATGTTTCGGTGTGCTTAAACACAAACACAAACGTTCTCCAAAAAATAACAACATATATTTCTGAGCAATTTTAGCCAGGCAGTCCAATTAAACACATTATCTTACTAAGAATTAAAATCGTTCCCAGTACAGCAATTAAAATCGCAATAGCTTGTAATGTTAAATGACACGAGATTGGTATGCAGACTTTTATATACGGCGACAGGTTCAACCGAAGGGCTCAAACACCTGTTGGACATCAACAACGCTTAATAGGTATATCTTTAACTATTTCTACATTATTAAGCATTCATAGAATTGTAAATCAGAAGACAGTTGAATGCAGTTCAATTTCTATAAAAACGATCATACAAAAAAGCATTACCATTATACCATACCTGCAAATACTTGCAGCATTAAATATACTGTTGTCCAATCCCCAACAATCCTCAAAAACTATATTCCTAACAGTCCGACACACTAGAAACAACGCTCTTACGCCCAGTTTTTCCCGCATCTGACATTGTTGCACATGCAACTCTTCCAGAGTTGGACAATAACCCAAATACTCATCTGGCCCCGGATTTGAATCAATACTCTTGCAAGACTGAATCCTCAAAGTCTTCAGGTTCCCGCAATATGACAAAGCCGACAACCATCCACCATCCATACTATGATCGCAAAGCACTAACTCCTCTAACATCTGGCAACAGTGACCTATTGCTTTAATCCCGTCATAACTCCCTTCGCATCCAACTAACTCGAGCCTCAATAATCGCCTACACCCCTGTGCCAAAATTGTCATCCCTATGTCTGACACCACTGAATCATATATCCCATCAAGATGTGAAACCAATTTCAGCATCTGCAAATTCTGACACTTGAAAATTCCCTTTAAAGATGAATCTCCACAACAGAGCAATTCCATTTCCTGCAGCAACTCGCATTCATCTGCTAAAATACGCAACCCCTCCTCACTCACATTCATCAAAACCACTTTCCTCAAGTTTCCACACCCCTCCGCCAATATCCTCACCCCTCTGTCAACTACATCAGAGCCTAAAACGTCCCCTTTCTTAACCAGAAACCCCTCATTTTCCCCAACCTCCGAGTCCAAATAAACGGAACATAATCTGTTACTCAACAAAATCCCGGAATTCCGTTCAGATTTAATACAAGAGGGCACAATATTAACATCAACTAAATTAGGAAACCGAAAACTAAGCCTACCCGATTCCAAAAACTCCCAATCCAACAACTTGATAGAATTAATCAATTTTCCACTTAGCATACACCACCTCTTGCACACCAATGAATTCGAAATATGCTGTTTCTTGTCAGATATTTTTGAGAGGATTTTCAATAATAACTTATCAGAAAGCATAGATGAGTAATCAGGTGCGGCGTTCCCATGGCTAATCGGTCGAGAATTAAACGGGTCGGACTCGGGTTCGGGTTCGGACTCGGAAGGAGGGGTAGTGGAGGAGGAGTTTGAAAGAGACTGGAGGCGCATTTTGAGGACTACATTCTTCAAGGCCTCATTAGAGGACAACCATGGGCCGGACCAGCTTGAACGCCGGTTCTTTTTTACAGCCGGCGTTTTCTTCCGGTCCAGGTTTGAATCCGGGCTCCTGTCGGGTGGAGACGGCATACGTTTGAGCTAGGGTTAGGGTTTCGGAGTCTCCGATCTTCAGCCGCATCGCCGAATATTCTCTCTCTGGAAACTGATAGCAGCAAACATTTCTATTGACTGTTTCTCTCTCTAAAATGAATGCACATACAGAAGTTAATAATAACTTTTGTGAGTTCAATGGAAGAAATGGATTTTTCACTGTTTTATTTATTTATTCTTTTATTTGGTAGATAGATTTTTCAACAATTCTCTATTTCTTTTTGGAAAATATTTCACCACAGCCCACCCATCTTACACGATTTTTTCATGTTAGTTACTCTTTTAATTTCTTTCAAAAATGATCACTTAATTTGTACTTTTATTTCAATTTAATCACATTTCCTAAGTCCATAAACATTATTAAAGAAAGAAATTGTGACCTAAAACATCTCCAACCCATTTCACTCTAAACCCATCTTATTTATTCATATTTAACTCATTACACCAGATGAACATGATTTCTTTATTTTTTAATTCTCGACAATTAATTTTCTTCAAATATTATTAATTACAAATTTTAATACTATTAAAATTGCTAATTTAAAGATTATGTTTAATTAATTAAATTATTGCATTTATTAATGAATAAAAAAAACATTGAACCTAATCAAATTAAAACAAATATAAATTAAGTTAACTCGTTTAGTAATAAATGAACAGTGTTGCACCACATTTAATGTTCATTATACAAATTTGATGTCAATATTTGATGTTGGGTTGGATGTCAAATTTCACACCAAAATGACCTTTTTCATCAAATTGGTGTTGAGTTTGGAGATGACTTAACTTATTGAATGGATCAATGTGCATACATCATTTACTACCATGAAAAATCCACAATTTTAAAACAAAGATTATGGAATTTATTTTTATATAATATTTATATATGATTTTAGCTCATTGCCTACTGTTAATAGGATATTTGGAAAATGGGGCTGAATCGTGAGGTAATTGCAGAATAAAAACTGTGGTAAACGAGTAAATAAGATGGATTTCTTGGGGAAATGAATGGAGTCTTTGGCAATTTGTATTGTTTTCAGATATGAGATTGACGTGATATAGCGAAATTGGTTTTATGTTAGTTTTGTCAAAAAATTTGAGAGAAATGGCTTGTTGGGTGGCGATTGTGATGAGTTGGATGATGGTGGCCAATAGCAGGTGGAGGTGGCGTTGGCAGGGTTGATTTTGGGTTGAGGTGGGGTGGGGGTTGGTGAAAGAAGATGAGTGTATGTGTTTTTTTGTTTTTTATTTCTTATTTTTTTAATTAATTATTTTTAGTAGAATAAATGGAAAATTACTCTTTTGCCCCTTGTAAATATTAAAAATGTGGTCAAGGTTAAATTTTTGGTCAACTGACGGAATTGTGGATGAAAACCATCCAAAAGGGTTTCACTTGCAATGTTTGGAAAGATTAGGGTTGACGGTTGAAACAAATCAAAGGTTTGAAAAAAAGCTGCTAATATTTTAAAGGTTTGAGGGTTTTGCTGCAATTATCCCTTTTCCTTATGCTAACCGTCAATTTCTTCTCTGATCGTATTATGCTCACAATTATCTACACCATTATGTCCAAATAGGATTACTCATAGAATAATGCTTATTTTGAAAAGTTAAAAATTGCAATTTTTTTTAATTAATCTTTTCTCCTTTTTTTTTTCCTTTTTTTTTTATTTTTTATTTTTGCTCTATCTTCCATGTCATTATTATGCGCACAACTATCTCCACCATTATGTCCAAAATAGGATTACTCATAGAATAATGCTTATTTTTGAAAAGTTAAAAATTGCAATTTTTTTTAATTAATCTTTTAAGACTAACGTTAGACAATTTTATTTACTAAATAAGACATGAAACTCACATCCAATTATATGCTGCTCAAGCATCTTTATAGACCATAGCTTCACAATTATTTTCTCAAAAATATAAATCGTACGACTACATACAATTACATGAAAGATAAACATAAAAATGTTTGCGTATGTTAAATTTAGTATATCAAATATGTATTCAATATTTTAAAGTCACATAATAGGATGTGAAAAGATTAAAGAAATTTCTTTTAAATACATAATTTTTAAATAATAACTTTTTCTAATGAGAGATTGAGCCTTGTTTGAACCACATTATTTTCATAAAAATACATTTTTGAATAGTGTAATGATGTGAAATGTGTGGTTAAAAAAATAAGAAAAAGTTCTAGATTTTCCTGTAATATTATTTTATTGAAAAATGTGTAGTTAGAATTATATCAAAACAATATTTCAGAATATATTTTTTCAAAAAAAAGGGGCTCAATCAAGAGCTTTACTTTCAGTGAAACTTTAAAATTAGCAAAATAAATATTTAGAAACCCCTATCTATTTTTTGACTCAACTATATAAATAACTTTTTTATAGAAAGTATTTGTATAGTCATGCTGTCAAATAGTCAATATAACATTCAGAAAACTTTTTGAATTCACAATCAAATAATCAATAATTTTTTAAATAAAAGTTTTACTATCTAAATCTATACATCTAAAAGCTTTATATGCAACAACTGTGTCAAATTTATACGAGAGTAGTTATATTGTCATTGCAGTTTTTTTATTGTTGCACCGCTTTTTAATTATGTGAAAGGTCTCCATAGTGACGAATCCAGCACCCGACTAGGGGGCACGACCTCGCATGCTAGATTTGTTGAAGTCCCTACAGAAAACTTGAAGATGAGGTCACACTCACGTAGGTGCAGAGGACGGAGGACAAGAGGTTGAAGGTGAGAGTAATTGGGGGCTTTTTCGAATTGGGCCTCTCGTTTTTATTTTAAAAAAAGGCCCAATATAAATATCTTAAATGGGAATAGTATGTTTTGAATAAGTAATCGCATCCCAAAATTCAATTGCAATTCCAGACGAAACAGGCAGTGCAAACCCTATCTCTATGGTCAGTAAATGGGGCCCGCCTGCAAGAGAACTGAATCAGGTGAATAACATTGCATTTCCAGTGAAAGTGGCGACACTTTCTTAGTACATGCTGCTGTGACTATGTTGGGACATATTGAGTAACTTGATATATCTAGCGCTTCAATTGCTACTTCTTTTACAAATGTTATTGGATTCAGTGTCATTGTAAGATACTTTTCTTGTCTCAACTTTTAATTCTGGCAATGATTGCTACCAGTTATGCTCCGTTTGTTTATCTCTTTTGAAATAATGAGAATGAAAAATATAGTCGTAACGAATTTCACACGAGAGATAGAAATTCAAATTTGATGGTTTGATACGATGGATAACGATCATTTTTTTCATTTTAATAAGTGAAGAATGGGAACCAAACAGAGACATATGTTTGAATAGTTTTGTGATTTGTAATAAAATTTTGAGAATAGATTCAAATCCATTAGCAGTAATAATGTTTTTTAGGTATATTTTGAGTTTTCAATCTTGAAATTTGGTTTTTAATGTAACACCCCGAATTTTTTTTACTATTGTTCATATGGACCTAAGCTTAATATTGGTCATTTAGCAAATTGAATGATCCATGTCTAGTCTTGTCATCACACTAAGTTCAAATGTAAAAAGATAAGCTTAACCCACTTATTCGCATAAAAGATTTACCTGGCTTTCGAGTACTTTTAGAATTTATCGTAAACTATTTAGATTGAATATTTAAGCATTTTTAGACGGTGACGAAAATATCAAATACAATACTCATTTTGTAGCTCGTATTAAATAATTTAATTTGGGCTCAAGAAAAAATAATTTTGAGTTAGTCATATTCGAGTTATTCTAATGAAAAGAAAAGTGCTAACCTTTAATAATAATAATAACAAAGAAAAAAGGGACGAAACTTCCATGTAAGAATTTGAAGAGATATTAAACGTAATTACCAAAATAATTAATCTAATTATGTCTTAAATAACTTGAAATTCATTGATTTTGAATTATGTCACCAACCTTTTGAAATTTCTTGAAGGTTACGTACTAGTGATTTATAAAGGGTGTAAGACAAGAGTGTTTTGTATTAGAAATTTTATAAGTTCATTTTTATTTTAACACGCGCACTCTATTCACTTCCACATTATCATTTCAAACAACTTTTTCAGAATTTTGGGTGTCAATTGATGTAAGAATACACCGTGCAAAATGGTAAGTTCTTATTCCTTGATGTTTGTATAATTTTTGGCATAAAATGCTAGGAGGCCTTCTGGTCAAACTCTATGTTAAATCCTTCGGGATGGACCATTAGGTCAAAAATGTTAAATCCTACAGAATTGACCATTTGGTCAAAGATGTTAAATCTTACGAGATGTGAGGACTCTTAAGAAATTCCTTGAGCTCTAAATTTAAGAAATGTTGGTATGTTATGTTAGTTTTATACTTTATATCATGTGAATAAGAATGTGTACGTATTCTTACTAAGTGTTTTCAAAATACTCACTCTTACATACTTTTCAGATAAGAAAGAGTTGTTTGGATGTGTGGAAGATTGACCGAGTGATGCTTATATATGGGGTCGTCAAGTAATGTTTCCAAAAAATATAATTGTCAAACTTTTATTTGAAGAACATTTTCATATTGAATTTTGTGCACATTGTTTAATAGCTATTTTGTGCATTTTCAGCACTTAGAGTGTGTTTGATTGGTATGAAAAATATCACCTAGAAAAGAAAATGTTTTCCATCTTTTGTGAAAAATAAAAACCACCTCTACCTAAGAAAAATGTTTTCCTTAAAAATAAGGAAAATTAGGCATATTTTTAAAAGTTGAAAAATATTTTTCATGGAAAAAAATAACAATCAAACATTCCAAGTAGGAATTTGGATGAAAAATTGATATTTTTCATGAAAAATAAATGTAATCAAACACACTCTTAATAAAAGTGATATTTCCGTTTAAATTAGACAAAAAAGATGTTCGTAACACCTGGAGTCTATTTTTATAAAAGAATAAAATAATGAAGATGACAAAAAATCTCGGGACGTTACATTTAAGGGTACCACAAGCTTCAGTTTTACTCTATAGGAATGTTGGTCTACTTACTAAATTACAGGATTCATGGCTTTTAGTTTCTATTCTTCCATACTTTTTTGTGTTCAGGATTTGACAAGAACACCTTTGTCTACATGTGGATTTCTTTAGAAATTAGAGATAAATC